TATTTCTGTAAATTCATTAAAACAAAATTATTCGAAAAGTCATCCAGACAATCGAAATTCGAAAAAGCATTGCAATCCTTGTTTAACTATCCCCCCTTTACATTGTAAAAATAACAATGCACCTGATGTCAAATCGTGCAGCAAAATCAGGGGGGATTTAAAATTTATGTGTAAACATTATAACAAATTATGGAAAAATTAGTCGTATAAAAACGCAGAAAATTATAGCAAATTCGAAACGCACCCCTCAACTATTTTTTTACATTTTAAAAAAAAAAATTTTTTTTAAAGTATGTCTGTGAGGCGGACAAATGTTGTCAAAAACGGACCCCCAAAAACCACACAAAAAAATTTTTGAGAAGAAAACTAAAATCATTTTATTTTAAATGTCTTTCTGTGAACCACCTCAAAAAAAAGGTTAATATGTGTAATTTGTAAAATTATGGTATTCGCATCAAAACATTCATTTTAAAATATTTGAAAAAATTCAATAAGGGTTTAAAAAAGTATTTTCAAAATATAAAAAATTCTGTTAATGCTTCGCTAAATATTCAAATACAGTTAAATGTGTCCCTTACTTTCTCCTACCCGCCTTTCTATCCCCCAATGGAGCATAGGGCCCTAAAACCCCAAACCAACCCCAAGTCTTTATCCTTCCCCCATTGGGGCATTTGAGCTCCTCCACAGTCCTCCCCATCTTTCTAACTTCATTCTCCAGTTTCCCCTCCAGTGTTTTTTGGCCTTCCTTATTCCTATGCCCCTGGGGGTTCAATGCAAAGACATCCTGTTTGCTGTTCTCCGTTTTCTCGGTGTGTCACCAAACCCAGCGTCTTTTCCTACCTCTTAGTCCCTGGGCCAAAAATTGGGTTCTTATTCCCACTAAATTGTCTCAAATTATCAAATTATTTTTTTAATGTATTCTATAAACCCCGTGAAATAATCGCAGCTGATAGTGGCAGTAGCAGCTGCTGGGGGAAATGGTCCTCAACAGGGGACCCGGGTTTTAACCCATGAAGGAAAGGGGGTTTTTTTTTTCTGGGGGGGGGGGGGAAAAAAAAAAATTTCCTGATCTGCACAGCCATAAGTCAAATTCCGACTCAAAACTACCCTGTCTTCCCGGCCCAAAATTGTAATTTAGGAAAAAGGGCAAGGTCTAAAAAATAAAGTTTTCTGTGTGTCAGTGTTTTTGTTTTTGTTTTTTAAATTTTTTTTGATTTTTATTCCAAAAATCATGAAGTCAATCCAACCCCTTCTAATTTAGGGATTTTTGTTTCTTAGACCTGCGGCAAACACATGCAATAAATAAAGTCGTCAGTCCCCCCCATGGCCCGCAACGAAACCCCCCCGCACCAGCACATTTTGCATACCGCCCCTTTTAAAACAAAATTCGAAAAAACCCGACCAAAAGCAAAAATGTGCAGAGCAAGTTGGGAACCTGAAGAACTGCTACTGACATCGAGTTTAAAGGGACCACCTGATGGTCTGACATAGAAAAGAAACCAAACAAACGATCCTTAGACCCCACCCCACTTTTCCCTCTGTCGATATGGTAAATGGTGGAAGAGGAGAAAAGAAAAAGAAGATTATGGACGAAAGCTTTAGAAAGTACTCTATGAAGGAAGAAAACCACAATAGGGTATTCGGATCATCAGAAGCGGTCTCAATTCCTAAAGTGTTTTGGCCACCTTCTCTTCCAAACAACACGTGACGCATTGCTTGGGACAAACAAATGTAAAGACATTGGTACAAATCAAGAACTTAAAAGAAATAATATATCAAATCGATTATCAGACCATGCTTAAACACAACGAACTAATTTTAATTGTGTTTATTTTTCGTTTGATGATAAGTCACCTAAGCCTCTTTCTGTCTATACCTTCAGTTTTACTATTTTGATGAATATTCACCTGTTGTGGGAACTTACTGCATTACCTCGGTGAGGGGTGGTAGAAGTTTATTAATTAATTCTAGATGTTTTAAAAGCATATGGTGGCAGTGGTGGTTTATAGTTTGTAGATATTTTGGAAGCTTATGGTACCCGTTCCCTGGTGGGCGTGAAGTTTAATTGTTTGTAGATGTTCTGGAAGCTTGTGGCATCTCCTTTACGGGCGGATGTTGTGGTTTACCATTTGCAGGTGCTTTAGAAGTTTCTGGCATTTCTTTTCCTGGATGCCACGGTTGTTTACCGTTTGTCGGTGTTTTGGAAGCTTGTGGCATCTCCTTTACGGGTGGATGTGGTGATTTATTATTTGTAGATGTTCTGGAAGCTTGTGGCATCTCCTCTCTGGGCGGATGTGGTGATTTCTTATTTGTAGATGTTCTGGAAGCTTGTGGCGTCTCCTCTCTGGGCGGATGTGGTGATTTCTTATTTGTAGATGTTCTGGAAGCTTGTGGCATCTCCTTTACGGGCGGATGTGGTGATTTCTTATGTGTAGATGTTCTGGAAGCTTGTGGCGTCTCCTCTCTGGGCGGATGTGGTGATTTCTTATTTGTAGATGTTCTGGAAGCTTGTGGCGTCTCCTCTCTGGGCGGATGTGGTGATTTCTTATTTGTAGATGTTCTGGAAGCTTGTGGCGTCTCCTCTCTGGGCGGATGTGGTGATTTCTTATTTGTAGATGTTCTGGAAGCTTGCAGCGTCTCCTCTATGGGCGGATGTGGTGATTTCTTATTTGTAGATGTTCTTGAAGCTTGTGGCATTTCCTTTACGGGCGGATGTGGTGATTTCTTATGTGTAGATGTTCTTGAAGCTTGTGGCGTCTCCTCTCTGGGCGGATTTGGTGATTTCTTATTTGTAGAAGTTCTGGAAGCTTGTGGCATCTCCTTAACGGGTGGATGTGGTGATTTCTTATTTGTAGATGTTCTGGAAGCTTGTGGCGTCTCCTCTCTGGGCGGATGTGGTGATTTCATATTTGTAGATGATCCGGACGCTGGTGGCATCTCCTTTTTTGGCGGCTGTGGTAGTTTATTATCTGTATGTGTTTTTGAAGATTGTAGCCTGAGTTCCCTTGACGACTGGGACGTTTTATTGTTTTTAGATACACTGGAAGCTTTAGGCATCTCCTTTATGGGTGGGTGTTGTGGTTTATTATTTGCAGGTGCTTTAGAAGTTTCTGGCATTTCCTTCCAGGGCGGCAGCAGGGGTTTACTATTTGTAGGAGTTTTCGAAGCTTGTGGCATCTGTTTCCTGGACGGCTGTGGTGATGTATTGTTCGTGAAAGCTTGTGTCGTTTCCTTTCTGGGCTGCAGTGGTTTCATCTTTTGTGCATATGCATATGAAGCTTGTGGCTTCTCTTTTCCCGACATCTTGGCTGGCTTATTCTTTGTATAGGCTTTGGAGGATTGTGGCTTCTCTTTTCTGGACTGCAGTGGTAGCTTCTTATTTTGCATGTGAGCTCTATCGAAATAAAATTTATGAGAAAGTGAGTGAGGAAACATACTCCCCCCCCCCAAAAAAAAAAAAAATTATATAGGTCAAGCTCTAAAGTGATGATTAGGCTTCAGGGAGCTCAGACCCCCTGCAGCCCTGCATAAATTAAGCAAACATCCCCCCACCCATTTCCCCTCCCCAACCCAGTAATTGTGTAATGGCGTTCAGAAACCCCTGTTAAAAAAAAAAAAAAAAACCCACGTGTGTAGAAATGATCTTTTAATGTGTTGAATGTGTTTTTTGAACATTATTTCAAGTAAATTAATATTTTTGGGAGCAATTCAGTACATTATTATTATTATAACTATTATAATTCCTATTATAACTATTATTTCAGGACTGCTTTTTTGTAAACTGGTTTTGTACGGAAACCAAGACGATTTTTTAGTATAAGCCTAATACGGGAAGATGATATTAATGATAATGATGATAAAAGAAACACACTATCAGGATAATTTCCAAATGGCAAAAATTAATATTTACCGAGTATGTTCATCAAACTTTAGGATCGGTGTCCCGGCAGGATGTTTTGAGTTGTCAGGTTTGGGCAAAACTCCTAGAATGTTTCTCTCAGTCAAATGAGAATGCTTCTGTTAAAAAAAAAACGAAAGCTGCAATGTTTTACGCAGACTAAATTGGGATTGAGAGGAAACTAGCGGAAACAGGGACTAAAACAGCTAGGCGAAGCTGCGGGGGAGCATGGTCTGAGAACGCATGCCGAAATTATGAAATGCCAAAGCGCATAGCTACTCCTGTAGTTGATGAGTCTTCAGGGAACAGGAGGCAGAGAGAGGTCCAAAACGTTTATCACGGAGGCGCACGTCTGAGGATCTCCGACGAAGTGCGGACTAAAATCAAGTTTCCACCCGCAGAAACAAAAATCAAGTTTCCACCCACAAGCGATAGGATATCGCGGTGCAAACTGGAGGGTACTCTATGTAAGAAAAGTAATAGTGAACTAAAGAAAAAATCCCAACCTGACAAGCTAACCCGATTTGTTGACATAATCTACATTCAATATGCCCGCGAGTTGGGGAAAGTAGCCGGGCGTTACGCACAAACGAAAAGCAGAAGGCAGAGGGACATTGAGACGTGCTGAGCAAACAAGAATGCACTCAGAAAATGGTTTAAAACCACTACAGGCAGCGAACGGGAGGGACTGAACAAGATCTGGCTAAAACTGAAGAGCAGAAACAGTGCCCTCTGTTGCGCTGAATGTTTCTGTAAGAAAAGATGGAAACCAAAAGGAAGCAAGAGAAGTACTTTAGAGACCGGTTTCAGTTTGCCCGAGGCCTGTTTGAGCTGACCAAAGTCTGGGACTGGTTGTCGGTAAAGAGGAACTGGAATTACATCAACGGAAGATTAACTCTTACCTGACAAGGAATGAACCTCTCGATGACAGTGCAGAGATTATCAACGGCCTGCAGTGGCTCGAGTTGCCGAAGGTAGAGTTAAAAAAGATACCTTTCTCTTGGTCTGAGGTCGAAGAAGTTGTGAAAAAAGCCGGAGGCAAATCTGTCTGAGGTGTTCCTTAAGCACTGTATAAACGTTGTCTGAAAATCCTCTGAATGCTTCACTGCCTGCTAGTTAGCGTGGAGACGAAAGTACATTTGTACCGAATGGCAGAGAGCCAATTGAGTCTACACTCCCAAGGAGCGAGACTAAACCAGTGTGTCCCAATTTGTGCACAACTCGCTGTTGAACGCTGAAAGCAAAATATTCTTCTGGGTGATGGCACGCAGGTTCACACAGTATCTGATGCATAACAGATACATTGACACAACGGTTCAGAAAGATGTTGTCCCGAGTGTCTCCGGGTGTCTGGAGCATTCGACTATGATCTGGGAGTCTAATCGGAGAGCTAAGGCAGAGAAAACCGAGATGCATTTGATACGGTTGGACCTGGCCAACGCGAATGAGTTGGTACCCCATACGCTATTGTTGCAGGCTCAAAACGTATCGACAGAGATCACCGCAATGATCGAGAAATATTTCTTCGTTAGTCATACGCTTCTTAGCACCCACGTTTACTGTGAGATAGGCTGAGCTACAGGCTGGGATAGCAAAGAAATGTACGATATCGCCAATACTATTTGTAATATCTATGCAGGTCATGTTAGACGTGGCTGCCGGTGTCGGTGAGGGCCTTCAAACTGGGGATCACTGGATGCCGCCACTGAGACATACGACTATCATCACGGACAGTGAAAATTATGCCCTTGTTATCCTGGAGAGGCTGGATCGCGTGGCCTAATGGTGCGGCGTGCAATTCAAGCCCCAGAAGTGCAGAAGTCTATCTATCCAGAAGACAACCAGTTTCACGGTAGCAAGGAAAAAGATCCCCCACGGTTCCAGAGGAATCAGTGAAGAGGCCGCGACTACTATTCGAAGTTATCTGATAGAGCGGGAGTTCGGCGTATATATGAGTCACTGGCAACAGGCGAGCTTGTTATCGAGCAGTGCAGGCTGATCGGGAAGTTCTAGGTTTGGTGTCTCTTTTTCGAGGTAAACATGACTGAGCATGATCTTTCCATGCTTGAACCAGTCTACCAAGGCCTATCCACCCCACTGTTCCGCTGCCTCCACAACCAGCTCGGAGCTCTTTCTGCGGCTTCACCGTGTTGCTTTAGTGCCCATTTGCGCTCGTTTCCTCCCAAGCCCAGATGCTTACGTACATTGTACGTGCAGTTGGGGATTAGCCCTTTTGCGCCTGTCTAGATGGCGAAGAATTTTACTGCGTATCCTTTATAACTGTTCAGAAGGACTATCAACTCACAGTAATCTTCGACCTTGCTCAGGAGTTGGTCTTCAGTTTGCGACTCGCACGGCACGCTCAGCTCTGTCAGTTTGATCTGATGCTTTGCCGTCGTGTGCAACAAAATGTTTGACCTTAGCCCAGTCTTTCTGAGATTTCAGGGGTGGAAGAAGGGTAGTGAAGAATACATCCATTGCCATCTTTCAAGCATTTCGTAATAGGTCACTAAATAGGGGCGTTTAGTTCGAAGACTGAATGCATCGGTGTTAGAGGTGAAGAACCAAAACATCTCATACAAAGTCAGATTATTAAAACGAATGTGCACGCAAGTTATGGAGCAATACTAAAGTCCAGAAGAAAATAATTTACATTTTCGCAGGAGTTTATAGCTGTTGAACGTGAAAAAGAAGAAACAGAAGCAGAAGAAGAAGCAGCAGCAGCAGCAGCAGAAGAAGAAGAAGAAGGAGAAGAAGAAGACGACAACATAAAAGAAAAAGAAGAAAAAGAAGAAAAAAAAAGGAGAAAAAGAAGAAATAGAAAAAGAAGAAGAAAAAGACGCAACAGCAGCCGTAGCAGCGTCATCATTATCAGCAGCAGAAGAAGAAAACAAAAGAACAAGAAAAACAACAAGAACAAGAAAGAACAAAAAGAACAAAAGCTAGAAGTGCGAGAAGATATTAGAAAGGAAAAGAGCTCTCTAGAATTGTTAAGCTACGCACACATGCAACACATGAATAACCATAATTAATATTTGCACTACAAACCTGTTTGCAGGTACAGCTAGGCTTTGAAAATACGCCTGACTTCATTCGAACTGCGTAGCAAGGTCCTTCACTTGTATGCCCACAAGGCCATTGATGCTTAACTGGAACATAACAGTCATTGTGCTTCCCTGATGACTGGCACTGACCACATACTCCAGGACACACATGGCCACAGTCACGTTTTGCAGCACAAGTTTGCTTGCAGTGATAGTTTAATGTTTTCGTGTAGCAAAGTATCTGCTCTTTATGTCCACATGGCCATTGGTGCGAAACCTGTTCATGACACTCATCGTGTTTTCCTCGTAACTTGCATTGGCCACAAATTCCAGAACATAAATGAGCACACGTAAGTTTTGTCCCACAAACCTGCATACAGGCATATCTGGACTGTGTTTTGTAACAAAGTACATTTTCTTTGTGACCACATGGCCATGTGTGCTGAACCTTGACATGACACTCATTGTGCATTCCTCCTAACGTGCATTGACCACATTTTCCAAGACATGAATGGCCACAAGCACGATTTGCCCCACAAACCTGCCTACAGCCAAAGATGGACTTAGTTGTGTTACAAAGTACAGTTTCTTTGTGACCACATGGCCATATGTGCTGAACCTTGACATGACATTCATCGTGCTTTCCTCTTAACGAGCACTGACCACAGACTCCATCACATGCATGACCACACTCACGTTTTGCTCCACAAACCTGCTTGCAGCAGTTCTTCAGTTTTGTTGTGTAGCAAGGGACATTTTCTCTATGTCCGCATGGCCACTGGTGCTCAACTTCAGCAACACATTTATCGTGCACACGGTTAATCCTACATTGACCGCAAGCCCCAGTACATGGATGCCCACAGTCTAATACGTTAGTGCAGGTCAATGAGCATACAGCTTTGTCTGCTGGGATGTGGCACGGGACCTTGTCTTTGTGGCCACAATGCAAAATACGCTTTAGTACCAACACGTGACAAACACACTTTGCAGAGCACATTTGCTTACAGGGATGTCCATCGGGGCACGCTCTAGCGCACGGCTTCTTGCATTTGTAGACGATGTGCTTAAGATCGTACCCATGACACACCATGCCGCAAACATGTCCACACGTCAGCAGGAACTCACATGGCCGCCCGCAACCTCCTTCTGGAAATTTCAGGAAATCCTTTTCAGAACTCGCAGTTTCGTGAACATCTGGGTGGTTATGACAGCATATTGGTAGACCACGACCAATTGTTTCTTCAATGGTGGCTGTTTCAACAATTTTCTTCCAAAGCTTGCTTTGTGCAGACAAGAGTTGTAGGTTACCAATAGCAAACAATCCTTTCTTGGCTCTTGACAAAGCCACACAGACTCTGTTGTCCACTTTGAGAAAACCAACTTGATTTTTATCATTGCTTCGGACAAGAGACAAAAGAACGATATCATTTTCCTCACCCTGATAGTTGTCAACGGATGTCACCAAAAGTGGGGGATCAATTTTCTCTTCCTTCATCACCTTTCTGATTTCAAAAACCTGACCCGAATATGTTGCTAGGATTGTAATCTGGGATTTACTGTATTCTTGCTTTAACAGAAACTTGCAAAAGGCTACAAGGAACCTTGCCTCGTGTGTGTTTGCTTTGCTCATTGAGTGTTCCAAATGTGTTTCTTCTTGCTCGTGTTGAATAAAGAAAATATTCTTTGATACGCCACGAATGTGTTCGTACCTTTCAACAGATGAATGATCTTTAAGATCTGGGTAGATGTGACGCACTATTTGAGAAATCTCTGGGCGCATTCTGTGCTGCTCTTTCAACATTACATGTGGCACGTTGTTCTTAATGAGCCTCTCAAACAAGGAGATTTCAAGACCAAAGTCTTTGGCTAGCTGGTAGACTGTTGGATTGGGTCGCAGCTGTTGATGATCCCCGATTAAGATGAGATGTTTGCAGTTTTCGTTGAGAGATGTCACAATGTGAGATTCCAAGACTTCAGCTGCTTCTTCAACAACTATAATTCTACAGCCTACAGCTTGTAGGACACCCCTGAGTCTGGCGGCTCCAGAAGTTGTCATTCCAATTATTTTAGCTCCACGTAACAAACTTAATGTTTCCTGATTTTCGACATTTTTCTGTTTCTCTTGTTCAGATTCATATTCGAAGATAAGTTCTTCCATTTGCTCAGTAAGATCCTGTTTGTATCTGTGCACCCACAAATTGTACAGTGCGAACCTTTTATCCAGCTCTAAATTCCACACAGATTTCACATTGTCCTCTTCTTCTTCTGTCATTGGTTTAATGAACCGGAGCCTTCTGTGCATGGCTCTCAAATTTAATTTACCCTTCGACACAGTTGTCCACTCATGGGAGTCCAAATCCTTCTCTGGCAAAACATCGTCTCTAATGCCAAGTGCTTCAGCTCTCTTCACGGCAGACGTCAAACTGTTGACAGCATTTTTTACACGAGCGCCAATTCTGTCACGGTGAATGAAATCAACGTCAATCATGCGATCATTTTGTTCTTTTATGAACACATAATCAGGACCCAGTGAATCATGATCCTCTCTTTGATGACCGCTTACATTTGTAAGCCTCTGAACATCATCCAACTGTTGATGAAGACTTCGCTCTGGTCTCAGAAGCCAGTTTTCAATCATGTTATCACATCTATCTTTCACATCGCAAAGCTGTTTATAATCATCTTCATGCAAAAATAATCGTAGCTGATGGTCTGGTAGTATTTGTGTACCTGCCATTTTTAGCCAGTATTCGATTTCATACAATCTGTTTCTATTGACTTCTGTTGGCCTCTGATCTGAGAGCCGTTGCATTTCGCACTTGTAACCATGTTCATACATTCTTAAATGATAGCAGTAGAAATTTGCTCTCTGAACTATGTTCATGCTTTGTGACAGCTTAGGCAATTTCGTCCCTTCTTTCATTTCCAAAATAAGTATAACCAGATGTTGCTTGACCATCTGAGAAAGTAATGTTTCAGTTGTCTGATTGGAAGTTGTAAGCCAAGCATGTATTGGGGATTCTCCAATCTTTAATTTGGCACTTTCATAAAGTAGGGAATTTCGATGTATGGCTCTCATATGACTATGTAAAGTATGCTCTGTTGTGATATCTATTTGCAGTAACTCCATCGTCTCATTAAGTTTATATATTTTGTCAGAAATCTCATTCATGTTCCGTTTGTCAAACACATTTTTTCTGTTTTTGCGAAAATTTTCTTTTTTCCAGTTTTTCCTTAGAATTCGCAGGTTGAATTTATTCAGTTTTTCTGATTTGCTCTGGCCACCAACACGCACGACGCCATCAGGACAAAAAGTCAGAACCCCTTCCAGGAACTGGTCAAGGGCATGATTTGTGTAGCAGACGACAAGGATAGGGTCACAGCTTCCAGTCACAATATGCTTATTCTCTAACAACACCTGCATCACTTTGAGACCTACATATGTTTTCCCTGTACCCGGAGGTCCTTGAATGATCGCCAACTCTTTGGTCAGTGCTAACTGAGCAGCCTCTCTCTGGGATTCATTCAAACACATCTCATCGGCTCTTGGCCATTTGCTTGTGGTTAGTACAGGAACCGTACACATCAGTTTGATTTTTCTTAGACATGATAGATCGTAAAGAGGCACTTGACAAACTCCACCAGAGGGTAACAAGTAAGCAGGCGGTTTTAATTCTGTCTTACAGTGGACGATATAATCTTGTAGTGGTAGTTTTGTTACCATCTCTTGTAGGCCTTCAAGGACATGGCAGTAAGATTCGAAGAAAGCTGTTGTTTCAGCCATCACGTATACATCACTGGAACCAGAGTTGAAAACATCTTTAAGGCCTGTTTTGAAATTAACAACAATGAATCCTTTCTTCCATTTTGAAACATCCTGTGCCACAGTCGCAAAAATAACCGTTTCAAAGTTATCTTTTGAGAGACATAAAAGTGAACCAAACATTAAATGTTTAGAATTCTCCCACTGGAAACGTTGAAATTTAGAATCATTGACATGAAGTACATGGTCGATACTTCTGTCAACTACAATCCCAGCGATTCGTACGTTAAAGTAAAATCTCAGATCTGATGATTTGAAACCTGGTTTGCAGTGATTGTTCTTGAATTCTGCGATTCCTTTTCTAAGTGGAATGATGAAGTCTTGCCTCAAGAGACGGAACTGGACATCGAGATAGTGGTGAACATCATTGTATCCTCCTTCAATCTTCGCACAGCGGATAAATGGACTGGCATAGTCTTGCAAATCAGCCGTCGTTGGCATCGTTGGGAGTTCCAAAAAGATATCTGGAGGTGCCTCTAAACTGTCAGACATCCAGATCCCACGACGTGATTTCTGTTCAAAATTGTTCTCCCTCAAGAAGACTTTCTTTGACTTTTCATAAAAAGAAGCAATACGAGTCATCACAGCTATACTGTTTTTCTTCAATTTTGTGCACCTAGCCACATCTAGAAGATCTGAAGTCACCGTCATACAGGTTTTAGCAAATCTGGGTACCTTGTCTAATATTTCTTCAAGTATTTTTGTGCAAGACATGAAAAACTCTTCTGCCTCGTCCCAGACACCGTCACTTATTTGCTTTTCTTTGGTGTACATGATCAAATGGTCGAAGAATTTAGTTCTAGAGAAGCTGTCTAGAAATTGTTTTATTGTTTCTTGTTTGAGGTCAGCACCCAGCGCTTTCTCAACAGCTTTGATGAGAGACAATAGACAGTCTTCCTGTAGCTTCTGCTGATCTAGAAATATCTCTAGTTGCTTCATGTGGGCGGTAATCAGCTCAAGCAATTGGCTCGAGTTCTTCATTTCTGACCATGTTTTCAACGTATTCGAATCAAACAGCCGCTTTTTGCTGTCTTTAAGCAAGCAGATGTTATTATGTTGCCATTTGCCGAGAGCTTGGTCTTGTAGAGAAGTGAGATTTACAGTGCTCTTGATGTCTCGTTCTTTTCTACTACCTTTGTGTCTCCTCCGGTTTCTGTCTCTGTGGGAAACTGAAAAACAAAGACCAATCTTTATTTCACAATTTGAAATGTTTGTTTATTTCATTTCCTTATTCAGTTTAGAATACTATGTCATTACTACATGCTAACTATTTATTTGAACTGCGTCCGTCAGATGGGTAAGGGTGGTGTGGGTCCTACAGTCTAAAGATCTAGGAGCGCAATTTTACATCATTAGACGAACAGAGTAGGTTATAATTTTTAATTTTGCGTGCAAAAAAAAACTGTTCTAATCAAGAGTTCGAACATAAGTCTTCTATGTGAAAGACTATTGTTCTAATCGTTCGGCCAGTCAGTGTTTTCATTCGTGATAAAAGTAATTAAAAGACCGATTGTAAATGTTATTATGGATATTTAATATATAGTGCTAGCCTTTTTTTGTACAGACCTACCACTGTTGATGAATGGTGGGGCTAATTTCACACTGCCACTGTCCTTCCAGAGCATTTTAAACTTGGTATGTCCATCAACGTATGCTCGATGCAGCACTGCTGGTGTATAAAGGGTCATTATGGGGAAGCCAACAGTACTAACCATAACTGAACTGAATTGAGGGGAGCTGATTTAAGAACCGATATCACAGCACTCAGGTCATTCGTGTAAGCTCTCCGTCCTCATCTGTCTCAGTTAGAGCAGAGTTCCAATACCAATGGTGCCTATAGCATTTTGAGTATACGTCCCTCTTGCCTTTACTGAGCGTTGAGTATCGGTCAGAAACACCTCGTCACTCCTCATGGCATCACTTTCACGAAACTATGGGGATCCATGTGCTCCTCTGAATTTACAGACTCTCCAGCAAGGTTCTAACCATTTCTGCCTTATCATACATCAATATATTCAATAAAGTTTTGCAGAGCCAGCCAATCTGTCAGCCTGTTCATCTAACCTGTTGTTTGGTCATTTAACCAACAGAACTTTGTTGCAGAATTCTCACTGCCATCTCCAAATCCAGATGTACAATGCTGGTATGATAATTTCAATCGTTCGATCTTTTTGTCTCGCCCGGGTGACAACCTAAAGCTATACCAAACCATCCTGATATTAAAGTAGGTTCCTGAAGTTCTAATAAACTTTAAAAATCTGTAACTCAGTGACTGTTAGCTGTAAGTTGTTGAAATTAGACATACTCCCTGATAAAAGCTATGTCTTTGTAAATATTTTTTTTCTTTCACAATATAAACAAACATCTAATTTTTATATTATTTTCAGTAGTGCTTCCTTGTACTTCTAACTCAAGCCTGAGTCTGAAGAATCTCAGCGTAGTGCACGAACTCCGTAGCACCGGCGAGGATCCTTAAAAACTTTGGGTAGATTTTTAAATCCAAATTTTGTCCGGGCAGCACCGTTAGGCTACTCTTTTTGATTTCCATATATCAAGGTGTACACATGGGCGTCCGATCTTCTACCCTGAGACCAAAGGAGATTACTTAAAGTCCACGTAAAAAAATCCTAGCCTTCACCGGGGTTTGAAATAAGGTAGCGCGGCAGTCTCATAATCTAATCAAAGATACTTGACAGAAACTTGAGTAAATTGAGTAAAATGAACTTTTAAAAATATCAAAATGAACGAGTGTCGTATGCGTATCACCCTCACGTGGTCATCTACTCCATTTCTTCCGTGAGTTGCGGATTTTTCATTGAGCGGGAAGTAAGCTATCAAAATAATCATCACGCATTGCTTCACATGTGAACTGATTTCCAAACAATCTTCATGCGTGTGTCACTTACTGTATTGTCTATTCTTCAGGGGTACCGAAATTATTAGTCAAACATAGGGCCACAAAAATTTGCCTCTTTAAATTATAAATTTTTTAATTAAAATGATCTGGGACATCAAAGGCCACATGTAAAAAAAAAAAAAACTTTATCCCTACAGAAGTTTTAGAATATCTGTTATAGGATGATGGCTTGAATTTTGAAACCTACTTGAAAAAAAAAAAATTGCCTAAACTGGACGATGACTAACAAAGGCAGGGTCACAATATCCTCTTCAACCTACAAAAAAAGGGGGTAAAAGTGAGGGGCCTGGGCAAAAGGTACCATTTTTTTCAAAAAAGACCTTGACCCTGAGGTCGACCCAGCCTTGAGTGGGCAACGGGTGCAGTCCCGGGAAGTAAAGTCGGCAGATGTGATGCTGACTACATCACCCATCTTGTGCCGATTGGTCTATAAAAATATAGGTCTAGCCTTATATGCTCTATAGCATAAAGGCGCAAATAAGGGTCCTTTAAATTTTTTTTTACCGTGACAAATTTCCTTTTACAGGCCATCATAAAAAAAAAAAAGAAGAAAACACACACCATATTTAGACCAGATCCCAGTTCTCAGTACAATAGCAATTATCGTGACTAAATATACTTGCTTACTTGATACAGATCTATGTACCTGTTCTGTCTGCTGTGGAGGAATGTCCAACTCCGATCTTACCTTCACTGTTCTGAGGCTGTTGGTCGTCTTTTTGACTAGCTGTTCGTATAGAGTCAGCCAGTGGTAACTGGTGATGTGAAAGGGACCGTCGTTGTTCTGTCTTATCTCTGCAATTTAAAATGGCATTGCTAATTGACTAAATAACAGAATAAAAGAATTTGCTGTCTGTTATTGTGGAGCAGAAAGACAGACCCCTGGGGACATACTACAGTATTGCCCTTACCTCTCCCAGCAAAGACTGTGGATCTGGCCCAAGGGAGCCACATTGAAAGAGAAGCTATGGAGGACCGGTGGCGACCTTAAACGCACAATCCTATTTGTGACCCAGACCGGACTTAATGTTTAGCATGACTAATGTCGAACGCAAAAGAAGAAGAAATGACTGTTAAACATCAAAGTAACAAAGGTAAAAGTACAGGACCCAAGTTACGACAGGGTCATATCAAGTATATGATAATAGAGACATGTTTGTTTAGACCAATCGGTACTCGGTGCTCGCTGTAGTCAGTAATGAATTCGCATTTACTTCTGAAGACTTTTCCTGAGAATTCTTTTAGGCAAAAATAATAATCATAAATAATAATAAACGGTTAGTTGCATATCCTTTACTGTTGTAAATCCATAGCATCTGCAGGCCTACTTTATGCTGACAGTGCCACGAGCACCGAATATGCTTATACAAAATAGAATAACCACTTGTGAAATGTGCAGTCTCCGCAAGATCACTAACAACACAAAAAGAGACATGGTTACGAATACCAGCATTGGGAGAAAGTCAGAATAAGACAGTGCATGAATTAGGTTAGCAGACAAAGAATGAATGGTTTCAGCCTACTAGTGAGAATGCAGCAAGATCAACTGCAAATGGAACTTTTTTTATGCAGAACATGTGAGAAGAAATCGAAGTGAAGAAAAAGAAAATATTGGATAAATGGTATAGCTAAAACCTGCCCAACACAAATTAAGCAACAACAACAACAACAACAACAACAACAAAACCTTGACACGGGGCTACAACCTGGTATCGGCAAGACAAGAACACAACAACACGGGGCTAAAACATGGCATCAGTAAGTTGACAAAGCCACGACACAGGGTTTCAGTAAGACGAAAAAGCTACAGCAAAGGGCAACAACCTGGTATCAGTGAGACGACAACACCACGACACGGGGCTACAACCTGGTATCAGTAAGACGACAAAAACACGACAAAGTGCTACAACCTGGTATCAGTAAGACGACTACACCACGAAATGAAGCTACAACCTGGTATCAGTAAGACGACAAAACCACGACACGGGGCTACAACCTGCCGAAAGTGAGACCACAAGAGAAGAAGAAAACCAACCCCAGAATTTGATGGCTGCTTGTTATGTTATGTTTTGTTATGCTATCGTATGTTATGTCGGCCTATGTTATGTTATGTCATGCTATGCTATGTTATGCTATGCTATGTTATGCTATGCTATGTTATGACAATCAATGTTACTGAACACTGGACATTTTCATAACTGCTCGG